CTATATTTTTAATTCTCAAAATGATTGTGCGTGACAACCAATAACCCCAGCAACATGCTTCTTCTGATTATTTTTTTTAAAGTGTAAATGAATACCGATAGCTAAGACATGTAAGTGTTACGAATCCCTTTCATATTTGCACATTTGTAATAAAATGTTATTGCAGCTTTGTCTGTTGAAACTCTTTGAATAGGCTGCAGAGTTAGAAAATAGTAAAAAAAGATAGAGGGTAAAATATGCAGACTTTCACAATGAAAGTCAAGAGCTGCTTTTATGTACCACACATAACAGCATCACTTTTATATTTTGCATGTAAAGAGTCATTTTTGAGAAGAAGGGAGTGTCAAAAAACTTTTTTTTTGGTCTGAGGGGACAAAAGGAAAGTACCCGATGGTTGAAGGCATTGATAACAAGAACACTGATTCATATGTTTAATGTAGTTGTGAAATAAGTTTTGTGTCCCAACTCGTTTGAAACATGAATTCCTTAATTAAAGTTTAGCGAGCGAAGATGCATTATGCATATGGACACTTAACAACAATAAGTGCTTATTTAATTATGAGAGGAGCTGTAAAAATGAGTGTATTGTAAAGTTAATTGGGAGTTGAAGTGATTGCACTTTAATTTGACAGGCTCAGGATTACTTGTTTCAGTTTTGGGCACATTCAATTTTCTCATGGACAGAAATGGATTTCTCAGTTGAAAAGCTGTTCTCGCCATTTCATCTTAAGAGTAATATATTATGACTAGTGAGATGCATGGCAAATCTGTGGGAATGTTTTAAATCTGCAGCATAGATTTGCCATTTGGAGTTCATACTATGAAGATTGGTTTGCTAGTAGCAGCATCCAGTAAATCTGGGAGGAGGAAACTGTTGTTCTCCAGAGGTTGTTGGCCTGCTTCTCCCATAATCCCTGACTATTCGTCATGATGGCTGAGGCTGACAGGAGCTGGAGTCTAACTCCATCAGGAGGGTCACAGTTTGAGCATCCCTGATCTGCTGGCTTCTGCTACTGCTATAATAGTCTTTTTCCTTGCTGCTTTTCTGTGCAGGGCTGGAATGAACTATCTGGGGGTATTTCTTCCAAGTAAATAAGCATAGATCCCCTAGACAGAGTCTCTTGGATCCCCATCTCTCAGCCTTCTGACAGAAAAAAAGGTAAAGGACCCCTGGATGGTTAAGTCTAGTCAAAGGTGACTATGGGGTTGTGGCACTCATCTCGCTTTCAGGCCAAGGGAGCTGGTGTTTGTCCACAGACAGCTTTCCGGGTCATGTGGCTGTGATGTTAACATATGAGAGTGCTGGAGGTGAAATAGTTAAACAGGTTACTCAATCAGGACCCGGGGGGTGGAGTCAGAGGGACTATAAAACCAGCTCTGGGAGGAGTTAGTTGGGAGTTGGGTGGTTGGTTGGAGTGGGAGTGAATTGGGATAGAGTTTGTGGGTAGGTTGAGTTAGCGTAGTGAAATAAGCTGAGTCAGGAACAGTTAGGGGCTAGGAAGACAAGTAAATATCTGAGAGGTGGTTTAGTGAGTGAGAGCAGGTAGCGGAAGTTATAGGTCTGGATAGGCAGCCCATGATTGTAATGGACCGTTTATGAAACCACACACTTGTTAAACTGCAAGAAATAAACAAAAGATTATGTTCCAATTTAACCCTGACCGGACTCAGTATTGTACCAGGTAGGGCCTGGGTGGTGGCAGCGAGAAATAAAGTGGTGGCACAGGGATCAATAGATGGTGAAATGTCCAGGAACTAAACTGCTTCTTACGCAACGGAACACCGTGACAGAAGTCAGACAGCATGGAAATGCCGTTTACCTTCATGCCGCAGCAGGACCTACTTGCCCTGGCATGCTTTTGAACTTCTAGGTTGGCAGGAGCTGAGACAGACTAATGGGAGCTCACCTCATCATGGGTATTCAAACTACCAACCTTCCAATCCGCAAGCCCAAGAGGCTCAGTGGTTTAGACCACGGTGCCACCCGCATCCCTTTCTGACAGTACCTACCACAGGCAACATGTTTCAGAAAAAATAGCTAGGCAGCGAGAAGAACTCTCTCCCATACAAGGGGGAAGCACAATCCTTTAACACTGGATGCCTGGAGCGGTCTTCTCACTAGGTGACCACACATGATTCTTCATTTGGAGACATGAGGACTTCTCTTATTGCAGAATTCTATGGAAAGTAGTTCCTATGATGTATTGCATTTCTGTAGCACATGAAGAGAGGCTTGAAAGGTGATATCGCAGGGAGGCAAGCTGGGTCAATGGAACCCAGCAATATTTTAATAGGGTAGTAAAAGTTTAACAGGGCCCAGGGAAGATGTGGTTGGTTGAGTAGCAGCAGCCTATTGCAGGGAAAACACAAGGGAGACCCAAAGAAAGGGAAAGGGAAGGATATTGTAGGCTTGTAGGCTTGGCAGATCTACTCTCTGCCCCAAAAGAAGTCTGAGGTCTACTAACTGGACCCATGTGCAAGACAGGAAAGCTGACATAGAATTGTAGGACAAGGTAAATACTTGCTCAGTCCACAGATTTGTTTTCAATACCAAAAATTTAGCTCACATGCAAATCTACTCTGATTTCCCCACAAGCTGTCTTAATTTCAGAGGGGGAAAGAAGGAAAGAATGTTCTGGGGAATTTTTTTGGGCAATTGTATTGGGAGTCAGAAACTCTTGCTGGTTTACAGCCAGGAGATCCCAGTCTATCTTCTTCCTGCTGCTTTGAAATGGGATGGATGTGGGTGAAGTGGACCAAATAGCAGGCAATATTTTTAGTATCTTAATATTGTGTCTTGGGTGTCTGTCATTCTGTTGGACAGAACAGAGTGGTTTAATTCTGTTAAGTATCAGAAAAGGATAGCATAAAAAGTGAACTAAAAAAAGCAATTGTCATTTATAGTAGTTGTTCCTATTACATCCAGCAATCTGTTCTCAAAGAGCTGGGTCAGAATGTGGGTACAAAGAGGCACATTTCACTGAAAACAATGCAGTGAATATGTAGCATCCCTACTCAGATACATAATCAGAACTGACAGTGAAGGAGCTGAGAGCACCTTATGCTATAAGCATTGTTGAAACTAAGCAGGCATGGACCTGATCAGGGCCTAGATGTAAGACAGCTGAGAGCTCCTTATCTGGATGTTAGACAACTGGAAACTCCTGAGAAGTCCATGTAAGCAGCAGGGAGCTTTCTAAATGAAATGGAAACTACACATGCATATCTTATATAATTACCTGTAAGTATCCGAAATGTAACTGTGTTTTTATTAGGAATGCCATGAAAGGTGTCATGAAAGATGGCGAGCTTCAGATTTGGTCTTAAATCTGTGGTATCCTACTCTTAGAAATCTGGGGCAAAAGTGGGTCTTTCTACCTATCCAAAAATGTTTCATGACATTCCCCAAAGGTTTCTGGCCTGATATATCTGGGGCAGTGACAATGGGGAACTCCCCTCGTCTTTGATAACACCACATTCAGCATCAGCAAACACCACCAATCAGGAGTGCCAACTTGAATAAAATACTGTGGGGACCTAGGTAAGCCCCGCCCTGCATAATCGATCACAAGATGCGGCACCCCCCCATTTGAATGTCAATGCCTGTCAACTTTGGGGCCCTCCATTGTCCTCAAATATTTTATTAGGGGGCGGCTGAAGGGACCTCAACCACTAGGAGTTGGTTCCTATGCCACGAAGCACATGCAGGGAGACGACAGGAAGGGCAAAGTCAATCCAGTGCTAGTATTTATATGTGATATGTTGTACTGGAATGTGAATGGGGATTTACATCTCATTGCAGGAGAAGTTCATATGCTGGGGGTACCACTGCTACTAAGCCAGTGGTCCTGACCTTGCTGCCATCTTGGCCCGTCCATCGCCATCCAGGTAAGCAACAATGGCACTGGTGTTGGAAAGATGGTTCTCCTCACCCTACATGCCCTACTGTCTCACTGGAAGTAAGACTGAGCACCCATACTCCCATGTGCTTCTCCTTTCCACCTCCATAGTCAGAAGTGCAAAAGACAACATGGGGAAGGATGTCAAATGGCTATAGTGCACTTGTGACCCTCAAAAGGTCATTCTCACATTCTGTTAGGCTAGAGCTCAGTAGATTCATCCGATTCTAGGAACAGTGTTGAGTAAGCAAGCAGGCAATTCTTCAGCATAATTCTGCAACATCCCTAGTTTTTAAGAAAACATTTGTTTTGTTGGGTGATAATTGTTCACATCATATGAACAAGGTTTTGTTGTTACTAGCCAGCTGCTTTGGCCATGTATAGCCATATGGTGAAGCCAGATACATAACCAAGATTAAGAGGTGAATGAGAAAAGATTAATTATCTGTTAAGTTCTAGCTGACCAAAATTCTTTCCTCCCTATATTTTTTAATGATTTGCAATTTGTAAAATTAGAAAACTGCTATAATGCATGAAGACACACAGGTCAGAATTGTTTTATAGGTCCACACTTTGAAAAGCTAGCTTTTTATGTCCTTCATTTAAGATTTAAATGAATATCTGAGGTAGATTGTTTTTCTAACATTTTAGGTAGTTTCACTGAACCACTTACCTCAAGAATAAGCAATATTTAAGTCTCTGGCCTACAAAACTTCCCCAACTAACACAAACTTTTCCTACCATTGTGTGGCACCTCACTCAAGAATAAGTCATTCTGAAGGAAAAGGAGATAAAAGCTTTCCCAAGGGAAATGCTTTGAAGGGTCACACATGACACATACTTACGTTGTTCTAGTGGTCTGCAGGAAAGATCATTGTTACTTCCAGTATTGTTAGTTTTTCACTGCCCAAATAATTCAACTATTTTGCTATTCTTTCTTTTCAGAGTGAAATAGCTGTTCATTGTACTGTTAGACATTTTTATCTGGTGGTGTCATGCAACAGGTATGAGCATCTAAGAGTGTGGAGAAGGTCAACTTTCAAAATAAAATCCCTTCCTTTTCATAACAATTGAGATCACTTTACCACAGTTATTACTTACCAGCCTGTCCAAACTTGTACCAGCAGCTGTTGTTGGTCTTTCCTCAGGATTATAGGGTCGAAAGCGAGTATTAAAGGTATCCGGAACAGAGCGAGAGGATCTTAAAGCTGGAGCTGGTTTAGGCTGTCCACATCCTTGAAAGACCTGCAAGAACCATGCTAAATTACTCCAAAGGTTCACTAAGAATTGAATCTAGCAGCATCTTATTCCTGGGTCTCAATTTCACATGGATAACTTTGATAACCTGGTCAAAGTGATTGATCAACAGCATCATCAACAACAATTGAATAAGCAGATTTTTTGTTACTGACTCGATGTGTTATACTTGTGAATTTTATTGTCTAAGCACCAAGTTACATGAACTGGATTTCAAGTTGTGTCATCTACATCGAAACAGATACCTCACACATGCAATATGTAGGTCTGAGTTCAAAATACTTGAATGGCTCTATTTTGGCTTTCATTGACACTAATCAATACCTTTGTTTTTTGACTATTTCCCCCCCAGCTTGCTACTCAAAAGCATGAACAAAAATTACCAGAGCATGGACTGTCTCAAGGATCATATAGTTATCCCTTTCAAGACCTTCTCTGGGTTCTTTCTTTCTTTCTTTCTTTCTTGGAACTGCACAAAGACTGGGTAGTTTCTTAAATGTGTACATTTAAGTCTTAAATTTTAAGTCTTAGTGAGTCTAAGTACATTCCAACATAATTATCAAACAGCCTTGAAAACATTGCTTTTACTCACTGGCTACCTATTTTTTTCAATGAACAAAAAGCAACCTCAATGAAAGGACAACATTTGAGGTAAAAATCAAAACCCATGAAATTATGGCTCAGATTGCTCAGGGGATTCACTGACTTCCTTAGGCCATTCACTTGATTTTTCTACACCTAACTGGCAGCCAAATGTGTGAATGGACTGCACTGGCAAGTGTTCTGTTTCAGGTGTTATTTTCTTAAAGGAGTGTAACTTGTTTTTGGAACTAAATGGAGTTCTGTTTAAAACTTAGCCACTACCACTCCAGCTCCCATCTGTTTAAGCCTTATTTGTGTTTGGTGAAGAGGCATTTGCATCAAGTCTTCCTGGTGTGTTTTCTGAGACCCACCAAACGGAGAAAAGCTATACAGTTGTTCAGTAAGCCACTGCTAGATCAAGGGGAGCAGGCTTCACTTTGGCTAAGAAGCTGTAAGGACCAGTCTCTTGCATTCAAGTGTGCACCAAAGAATTATGAGCAACACAATCTACATAAACTGAAGGTGAAAACAATGCAGAAGGAGTGGGCATATTGCTAAGGTGATTGTGTGACAGCAGCCTCAATATGGCTGGCGTAATAGGTGGGGGAGACAATGGGGTTAAAAATGAAAAGGAGGAAATTGATCTCATTGATTCTACTTAGTGATGTGTCAGAATAAAGACAGAGTTCTGCCAGAATAAAATAGCGTATTTGGAGGCTGTAGAATATAATGTCATGCTCCTGAATGGTTTTAAAATTGAGCGCAGCGGATGCTTCGTTTAATCACTTTCCACATGTTATATTTTGAAAGGTAGTCAACATATAGGAAATCTAGATTGGAGCTGGATAAGCCCCATTCAGTTCAGGCTTGAGGTATGCAGATCTAGATGAATAACCATTTGTCATATTCATATGTCATATTAGATGTTAAGGGCCTTTGATTCAGGCTGACGTGAATGACCTCCGTCTGAGTACTAGCTAGCAACAAGCTTGTCAGAAAAGGTTTTGCCAACGTGGAGAGCTGAAACCTGGGAATTTCTGCATTGATAAAACAAAGCTGCATTGTCTGCAGCCCTAGGGCTCTTCTAAGTAGACAGGAGAGCGGAATAGATACATCCTGATATATGGTGTTGGGGTTTGGGGGAGATCTGTGCACCTTCAGGTGAACGCTGCTAAAGAAAAGCCCAGGAGGGGAACACATGCTATCAGCTCTTAAGGAAACCACCAACTGTTTCAAGAAACCCTCCTCCATCTTTAGGGATGGGTGAATCTGTCAATTTTGGTTTCTCTCAATTTCTCATTTTTTTTCTGAACCTAAGTTCACTTCCCCACATCTTTTTTAAAGGCCTTTTGGAGAAAATACCTTTTAAAATTTGTTTAAGCAAACAGTTGGGTTTAGTTAGAAAAAGAGTGTGTACAGTGGTACCTCAGCTTACATACGCTTCAGGTTACATACGCTTCAGGTTACAGACTCCGCTAACCCAGAAATAGTGCTTCAGGTTAAGAACTTTGCTTCAGGATGAGAACAGAAATCGTGCTCCAGTGGCGCAGCGGCAGCAGGAGGCCCCATTACCTAAAGTGGTGCTTCAGGTTAATAACAGTTTCAGGTTAAGAACGGACCTCCGGAACGAATTAAGTACTTAACCCGAGGTACCACTGTACATGGTGGGAGGCCCTGTAAGGGTTAGATTAAAATATTAAATATCTGTTGACAGCTGACAGTTGGCTGCCATGTAAGTACCTCAGGCTGGTCTGGGGAAACTTGGTCCTTTTTGATAAACTTTTGATTGGTCATTTGGGCTCAAATGCCTGGTCACTCATTGGACAGTTGAGGTGGTCTGATGAGTGGGGAGAAATCAATGCCACCCAAATCTGGTCGAAGGATAGACTGGCTGGGACATAATTCATACTGTTGAGTGACCAAAGTTGCTGAACAAGACGGAGGGTGAGACTGAGACTGGCTGAGATTAAGAAGCTGAGAGAGAAGTCTGGGGCAGAAGTAGGTGGAAGGAGGGCAAGAGACAACCTAGGCTGAAGGAAGTTGGAGCTACAGCCTGCCCTGAAGATGAAGATTGGCAGTGAGGCCATATAAGGATGCTAAATAGTGAGGAGAATTCAACAAGGAGCTTCTGGAGCTGACCAGAGTGAGAACTTCATGCAAGCCTGGCTCAAAGGAAACAAGTCTACAGGACCTTGTGGTGAGATTGACTAGGGAAGAAGGAATATGGGTAAGTATGGGCTGTGCTTTTTTCTAAAAAAAATGTTTAGGGGTGCTCTCATTTTGACTCAAGAAAATCTCCATTTTATAGTTCAAATTGGGAAAAATAAATACAGTAAATGGACAAAAGTATGAAGATTCACAAAATGTTTAGGGGTATGCATATCCCTGTGTACCCCCCCTGAAAAAAGCACTGAATATGGGTAAATGGCGTATAAATTACCGTATTTTTTGCTCTATAGGACGCATTTCCCCCCCTCCAAAAATTGAGGAGAAATGTGTGTGCGTCCTATGGAGCGAATGCAGGCTCCTTGGCTTCAGCGATAGCAACGCTAAGCCTCCGAAGCGCAGAGGCAGTGCTCCCTCCGCGCTCCAAAGGCTTCACGTTGCTTTCGCTGAAGCCTGGAGAGCGAGAGGCGTCAGTGTGCACCGACCCCTCTCGCTCTCCAGGCTTCAGGGATAGCCGCGCGCAGCCCCGCGGCAGGGAGAGGTTGCGTGGGGCTAAAGAGGAAGCCAAATCAGCCAGCGGGATCCATCCCGCTGGCTGCCTTGGCTTGTGCCATAGCCGCACGCAACCCCCCCGGCAGGAAGAGGTTGCACGCAGCCTGTACGCTGCTCTTTGGGGCTGGGGGAAAAAATAAGATTTCCCCCCTTGATTTCCCCCCCTAAAAACTAGGTGTGCCCTATGGTCCGGTGCGCCCTATGGAGCGAAAAATACAGTAAACAAGGTTAGGAACTAGGTTTTATCAGCCATCATGTAAGCCTCTGCAACTGTCACTTAAAGCTACAGTAACTGTTAGGTAGATTTATTGCTTTATTGTTCGGCGTCCGGCCCGCTTCCCCTGCGTGCCTCTGCAGGTCGTAAAGCAGTTAGCAGAATTGCACAGCGTCCGTGTTGAAAGGGCAGTAAAAGAAGTCCCACACGTTTTTTCTGTCCTAATATCACTTTATTTGCTCAAAAGTAGCATCCACACAGTAACCTTATTACATCATCTATAACTAAGCCTTAAATAACTTTTAAGAAAACTAGGGAGAAGAGAGATTGCAAGTTTTGTAAATACAGTTAAATGTAGTTCTAAGCCTGCTCTTCATGTTGTTGTCCCCCCTCCCTTCAGCTCACCTCCCTTGCAAAATATGTTTATAAGGTGTGTTTGCAAAGCAGTACAGGTTGGCTGTATTGATTCTGGTACCATGTCAACTATAGTATTAGTAGCTGCTCTTTAGCTAGGACAATTTATTAAATAAAGAGAGAGAGTCTTATTTGACTTTTTTTATAAAAAAACCCCTAGTAGAATTGCAGAATTGTAAAGTTGTAAGAGACCCTGAGAGTGATCAAGTCCTTATATCTTTATAGTTTACAAATAAATAAAGACTATATTAATTCTAAAAAGTGTGTCTGGCTGATTTTGCATCACAAAATCACACCTAAATTACCAAGCTACTGTTAAAAAACATTGGTAAACAGTATAGGACAGAAAAATAGTTCCCAGCCATTAGAAAGTGAATCAGCAGTGGTAAATAAAAGCTGGTTCTCCCAACCTACAAAATATTAAGAAACTGATGGGGTGAAATGTGGGAACACCCTCCACAGCTCTCATTTTTAAAAATCATTTTAGTGCAAATGTCTCCTAAGACACATGCAAAGTTGCCTAATACACAGTTTGTCCAATGCAATTCATTTTTGTATGTTGTTTTCATGAATGCATGCATTTTTATGCACACTTTACATTGGTATCTGCATTTTTGTATGCATTAGTTGGCCGAACTGAATTGCAAAATTCGGAGAAGTGCAAATTTTGAAGAACGGTGCGTTTTGGTTCATGTAATGCTTCGCAAAGTGTGAATCAGTGTAAATGCAAACTGAATCAAGTTTTTAATTTGAAGTCAATTTGTAAAAAAAAATGGAAATTCAATTAAAATTATATTGGGGGAAAAGGACCAATTGTAAGATGGGCTAACTCCCACATGCATGCCCTTCAACTGTCTGGATGGAGTGTTACAAATATGGTAATTGGTTTTTGAAGGCTGTTTTAATAAAGTTGGGGACCTGTTGCAACATTTTCTTGTTATATTATGGGAGGAACAAGGCAAAGGTCTAGTGAGGGACAAGAAAGAGCAATCCACAGCTAGCAACATGTAGCAAGTGTCAGAGGCTTAAAGCTGTCCAGCTGGCATAGATAAGACTCCGGGCTCCCGGCCAGTTCCAAACTATTTGATTTATTTGACAAAGTTCAAACGTACATCTCCAGCGTTTCAATTAGCGTCCTTCCCCTTGTGCGCAGTTGCTCCCTCTAATCTTCTTCCTTTTCTGCACCCAGCATGCAAGTCTGCGAAAACTCCTCCCCTTACTTCCTCTGTGTACCGAATGACTTGTGCCAGGCTCATCCTCCTCCCCCTCTACGTCAGACCCACTGTCAGATGACAAGCTACTGATAATCTCTTTAGGCTCTCTATAACTGCTGGTTCCTGTCCTTCCATCTTTTCCCGTTTGCCTCTCCCTGACAGCAAGACTGTAACCTCTGTATTTTCTAGCCCAGTGAACAGGCATGGTCCAGAAGCTTTTGTGGGAATCTGGAAGTACAACTTGACCCACTCTTGACTATTGGTGTACAGTGGTACCTTGGTTCTCAAACGCCTTGGTACTCAAACAACTTGGAACCCAAACCCTGCAAACCCGGAAGTGTGTGTTCCGGTTTGCAAACCTTTCTCGGAAGCAGAACATGCTCCATTTTGAGTGTTATGCTTCCCGTTTGAGTGCCACACTTCTGTTCTGAGGTCTGTCTGTTTTTGCTATTTCTTTTGCGTTTTTGCAGCTTTTTCTTGTTTTTGTGACAGTGTGGAACCCAGTTCAGCTACCGACTGATTGATTGTGTGACTGCAGTACATTGTTTATTGCTTTCACTTTATGGATCAGTGGTCTCGTTAGACAGTAAAATTAATGTCAAGTTGCTGTTTTAGGGGTTGCTTTGAAAAGTCTGGAATGGATTAATCCATTTTGCCTTACTTTCTATGGGAAGGCGCACCTTGGTTTTGGAACACTTTGGTTTTGGAACGGACTTCCGGAACGGATTAAGTTTGAGAACCAAGGTACCACTGTAATGAAATTTCCTCTGTTGGTGTGGATGGTCTTTTTGTGCCATTCCCTCCTTTGATTTGTTGCACAGGCAGGATCCCTGCTTGAGACCCCTTGATTGCCTGCTGAAGACCTACTGAGAGTTCAAGCCTCTTCATGCCTTCATTCCAGCCCCTGCACAGGACTTCAGAAGCTCAGAAAGCAGATTTCAGGCCAGACCTTTCAGAAAAAATAGAGGAAAATGCTCCAGATGCTTAAAATAACACTTACTCTAAGCCTGACACATTTCAGAACAAATCCTTCCTCGAGGAGTAGGAGGAACACACTATAAATATACCAATAACATACATAAGAAATGGGATAGCAAAGCAACTAATGTAATAGATTCTCATAGCCTTATTTTGCTCTATCCTTTACTACCTCATTTCATAGAATAAATCATATGGCAAGCACCTGGAGTTTCTCCCCTCTTTTTTTTCCTGCCCATGGTGATTTCCTGGTTTTGGGTCATCTGGATATTTAAGGAAAGAAACAACCAAATTTCTAAAGAAGCAATGGTAGAGTTTGATATCTAGCTGAGGCATTTAGTAGCAACAATGTGTTTGATACCTTTGCTGTCACGTGTACACTGTTTTCTTGCATGTTCATGATGGCTTCGGAAATCTTGACATCAATAGGATCCATAACAGATTCAATGTTGAATGGTCCCTCTAATCTGTCTGCTACCAAAAGCATAGCATCTGTTGAAAGACAAAGCAGCCAGCCGTCAGATAATAAGTAACTATGGAGCCTCACATGATGGAACACAAAGGGTCCTGACAGATGATTCAACTTCAGAAACTTGCCATTGTCTCACAGAGAGACAATGGAAACCAGGTGTGTCTGTCCTATATAAGCACTTAAAATATGTCAGTACTCAGCTGGAGAAAAAGTCAAAAGCACCTGAATCGGACACCAGGAGGAGAAAGAAAGAGGAGGAGAGGGAGGGAGGGACACACACACACACACACACACACAGAGGAGTACTGCAAATTCAGCCAACAGGTGTACCAAAAAGTGGAGTTGTCTGTCACTCTCTCTCTCTTATACACTCACTCACTCACATATATTTTAAAAGGTGTACCTAGAAAGCTTTGTTATGCTTATGTTAATACAAAACATTGCATTGTATTTTAGTGTTCTGTTGGAAGCCGCCCAGAGTGGCTGGGGAAACCCAGCCAGATGGGTGGGGTATAAATAATAAACAATTATCATCATCATCATCATCATCATAATCATCATCACCACCACACAAGTGTGTTTTCAACTACATGTACCAATTCAACAGAACTGGCTTGGGTAGCAGTCCTTTACTTTACATTTACATCTTTCAGGGCTGGTTCAGCTGCAGGTCAGCACGGAGACTCAGTGATGAGCAATGCAGCTAATTCTTTTTTCAAGAAAACAGAATACAAACAGAGAAACCTGCAGGCAAGTTGGCAGAATGGACAATCTGTGCCTCCTACTTCCCCCCAAGTCTCCTCCCCATCCAGCTGTTTTCCCAGCCATCGGAAACTCCATCGGGAAGGGCCCTCTGAGCTCTTTGCTCTGCTACACGCAAAGCCTTTCATGCCCTTGGAGACAAGGGAGGAGAGGAGCTGGATAGAGTAGGACCGGCAGACCCATGAGAGTCTGTTGCAGCCTCAGCTCCCACCTCCTCCTGCCAGTCCTGCATCTTCAGTGCTTTCTGCCTCTTCTTCCTCTCTCTCTCTCTCTCTCTCTCTCTCTCTCTCTCTCTCTCGGCCGTTGCTTGTTCAGCATCCAACCATTCTGCCCCCCTTCATCCTCTGACCTTGTTCAGTGTCCCACCACCACTTCCTTGGCTCTGAGCCTTCCTCTTCTGGGGCTTCCCTAGTAAGGTTCTCCAGCTGAAGCCTCCCACCACTCCTGATCATCCAGCCAGTCCCTGACATCGTCCCACTCTCCAAGGAGCTCAGTGTGGAACATGTATCATTGCATTTTATCTTCATGACAATCCTGGGAATTTGGCTAAAACAGAGTGTCTGGTTCAAAGCCACCCAGTGATCTTCATGGCTGATCGGGTTTTGCTCTTTGGCCTCTCAAGTCCATGTCCAACGCTAGCCTGTCACAATGACCCCAGCTGTTAGGGAAGAGCCATAGCTCCATGACAGAACAGATGTCAACTTCAGGTGGGGATGAGAAAGCGAAGAGACCTGCTGTTTCTTCATCAGTGTCATGCAGATTTTGCTTATTTGCCAGCCACAGAAAAGAATGCAGCCACCCCACCTTCCTCTGTCAGCCATCTTGGAAATTATTGAGAAGGCAGCACTAGAAGCAATAGGGAGCAGAATCCCTCTTCCCAAGCAATTGAAAGCCCAGATGAAATGCACAGTCATTATAGTTGAGGATCTGTGAATATATGATCCAGGTGTGTGTAAATGCTTTGAAGATGGTGTGCCCCACAACACAGAGAGGTGTTCTGAAAAACTCAATATTGCTGCTTAACGGCACTCTAAGCATCACTGTTAGGTGGTGACACAGTCTACTCCATAAATGCATATCCACATGGGTCCATGTGTGTTAGCCTGTTGTTCGTGGTTTCTTGGCATTTATGAGGAGTGATTGGCACATCCCTCTGAGGCAGGGAATGATGACTTAAAGGATTCTAAAGGATCTATTCTGGCTCCCAGGTACATTTCTGAGCACAATTTAAAAGGTTGGTGCTGACCTTTAAAGCTCTAAATGGCCTTGGCCCAGGATACCTGGAGGAATGTCTCCATCCCCATCGTTCAGCCCACTTCTTCACTATGAGAAGTGAAGCTACAGGGAACCAGGCAGAGGGCCTTCTCGATAGTGGCACCCTCCATCTGACCCTTCAGATGTCAAGGAAATAAACAACTATCTGACTTTTAGATGACATCAGGAAGTTTTAAATGGTTTTGTTTGTTTGTTATGTTTTTATATGTGTTGGAAGCCACCCAGAGTGGCGGGGGCAACCCATCCAGATGAGCAGGGTATAAATAATAAAATTATTATTATTATTATTATTATTATTATTATTATTATGTGTGCAAAAATGTTTGACCCATGCTGTGTTTCTCTCCAACATACAGCATACAGCCTGCGCAGCACAGGGTGGTAGTGGTTTGACACATAACAGGGTGGACCAGGAGAGGCACAGAAGGGATTGCTGGGCAAAACTGGAGCCCATGGCAGTAAGGAAAGCCTATTGATATACTGTATTTTTCGCTCTATAACACGCACCCGACCATAACACGCACATAGTTTTTAGAGGAGGAAAATCCGTAGGCATGCCACCCATAGGCATACCCTCCATAACACGCACAGACATTTCCCCTTACTTTCTAGGAGGAAAAAAGTGAGTGTTATGGTGCAAAAAATACGGTATATATCAAAGCTTCAGCTTGAAGCAACAAGAAGCAGGTTGAAAACTTTCTTCACAAAAGCCGTCTCTTGTCATACTTCTCTAAGAAAAAAAAAGGCAGCAGAGAGTTTAAAAACTGCATTAATAATAGATGCCACATCCCATTGCCTCATGCAGCAGAGTTGAAAACGGGCCTTTTATCTTGACACCCGAAACAGATAATTTGCCAGACGATTCGTACATAGACATATCAATCATAAGAATGGAAGCTGATCGAAATGAACCCTTGGGGTATATTCTGGAGCTTTGCACAAGACGAAGAAAACTTTTATGTGATATACTGGGATCTTATAATTAAAGCAGCTGTTCATTCTGACCCCAAGGACCCCATTTCCTTGCAATACAAACAGGGGATAAATATTGGATTCCTGCCATGACGTACAGGTACAAGTCATGTTTTATGCTCTGTGCTTTGTACAAAATGCAGCTGTCTGCTGTCGGCTGCAAGATATATTTTATGGTTCTGCTGGGGTTACACAAACTCATTTGTCTAATTACATGGCGCCGTGCTCAGAGAATTACATAATGTACAATCATAAGAGCATAGTGATGCATATTCTACTGTGTTTACAGTGCACCTTTGACCAAGTTAGACGCTACCAGCTAATCCATCCCCAAGAAGTATGTGCTCCCATGCCTTCTAACCTCAGCCCATGATCAGACAGCGTTTCCTTTCTCAATTGTTTAAAAAGAATATCCTCCCCTCCACTCCCCAGTGTAGAATTCCCTTTAAGCTCTGCACTAGATAGACTGCAATATCTGCTCTGCAAGCAAACAAGAATTTACAGAAATGCTGCAAAAGACCTCATGGTTTGACTCAAAATATTGTCATTTCCATCATAGCATGGAGGTGAACTTGCCACACACCCTTCACAGAGCAGCTTTGAGTGGTTTCTCTCAGAAGTGGGGGCAGAGAAAGGCATGAAAAGATGGGTGACAACAGCCACACCCCAGGAACAGCTTCGATTGGTCAGCTAAACCAGGTTGAGAGTAGCCAATGGGTCTCAAACTCATGATGAGTTGTTTTTTTTAAATGATATTTATTGGAAAACTTTTTTTTTAAAGTTACAAAAGAAAACAAAGTAGAAAAAGAACAAAAAAGAACAAAAAAAACCCCACAAACCACATCCAACAATACAAATTCAAAAAAAGAAACAAAAATACACCACAAACATTTAAAAACAAATCCATTATTCTCACATCCTCAACTGTCATTACCTTCTTTCTTTGACCTCCTCCTCCTCCCTTTTTTTGTATCCTAGTTGTTAATTGTTGCAGCAAATCCTTTCCATATTTCATAAAATTCTGTCATTACAGTACCTTAAACTATTTTAATCTTATCTTACTATAAAAAACCTTGAAACTTAAAACTTAAATCTTATTTTTACCAACTTCTCATAACCATAATATTCTTACATAATTCTTTAAACATTTTTACTAAAGCCAAGTAATTTCATTCCAACATTTTTCTAACATTCATCAATTTTATAAAACAATCCTAGTAGTAGAAAAAGAAATAAAAACAATCCAATCTTCATCTAGCGTCCCTTCCTCCTGGTCCCGGGTTTTGTCAGTCCTTATTGTCCCATCGATCTAGCGCATTAACCTGGTAACCTTATGTCCGAGGCCCTTAAGTCTCTTCCATGTCCCTTCTGCAGCTCTTCTTCATATTTGTAACTGTATTTTCCCTTGTCTCCTGCTCGTTTCACTCGTGGGAACTCCAGCTTAACAATCTTTTTGACCCTTCTCGACAGATCAGCCCCTTTTCCATAATCCACACTAAATTCCATGTGGTATTTAAGAACATGTTTCAAAATCCCTCCAAAATTAGGAGCCCCCACAATCCCAGACATCTCACGGCCCATTGCCAGACTTGAAAAGTCCAAACATCCCTGCATAGGGGGGTCTATCCAGCCCCCCATTTCCAAACCAAACCAAACTTTTTCTTTCCAAATCTGGCTTTTTCCAAGTTCATTTGTCAAATCCAAAAGCTCATGTTCCTGTTGGGCCTGTTCTGTCAGGGCACACTCCTGATTTAATTCCTGGGTGGGCTCCACATATTTTCCCACTGCCTGTTCAAAATTTCCCACTGCCTGTTCAAAATTTCTAATCGAATCAGCCATCAAATTCGTCTTCTCATGTAGCTGTTCCAGTAGGGCATTTGTTTTATAGAAAGCACACAACAGAGCTTCTGAATACATTGTCCTGCAAGGTCAGATGTCTATTCCCACGATTGTAATCTGTAACAGCTGCCAGCTCCCCGGAGTTGGTTAACAAACAAACTCATGATGAGTT